GTCATTTAGATCGGACGGGCAATTTTGAAGGAAGCCTTTGTTTGCCGACTCATCGAATGGGTCGTTACACGTGGAATCGGTGTTGTTGCATCTATAGCACTGTTTCATGGCTTGGCCAACACCTGGTGCGCAACGAAATAACATAAAATCATACAGGTTTTACGGGCCAATTTCACAAAAGTGACATTCAAATTCATCTTGAGAGTGGCCGACTTGAAGCAAACTTGCTTCCTCTAGTCGTTCCTGTGGTTCATATTATATTTCAGATGTTCAAGTTCGTTGTCAGACCTGATAGTTTCATGTTTGACACATCCTAAGTTGAAACTATTCCATCCAGGTTAAGTGATTGTTCAATTTGGTTTGGTTGAAGGGTATTTGAATTAGATTCTTATTTTCGTTTTGTATCCAGGTATTCTACTTGGTATTTGCTGAATTCAAAATATAAGGGAAAAGTAGGCAAGATGGCAGGTTTCTATTTAAAATCCATGCCTATATATATATACAAATTATAAGACCGGTACCGAAGGGCGAGTATTGCAAGTATTTTCTTTGCGATAACTCGAGGTGAAAAAATGAACCTTTCGCTCATGACCAATGCTTGCTACCAAAAAAATATTCAATTTCGGTGCTGAAATGTTATCATAAAATTTCGGAAAATTCTTGTAAACAGAAACCGAGAACAACAATTTCGGGTCGCAGATCCAAAAAGAAACTCACCAAAGCAAGCAAGAAGCAAAACGAGCATCATAATTAACTTCATGGTTAGGCAGGTGGATGTATGCAGCAACGTCAACTCCTGTAAACACGAGATATGGAGAAATTAAGTGTTATGGAAGTTAAAACTAGTGTTGTGTGCTGTCAGCGTGTACACATTTGTATCATGTTTGAATAGTTTCCAGGTATCGCGGATTTATGAAAGTTGGCGAAAGACAATAGTAAATGACAGTGAACATGAACATTCAAGAGACTAACGCTGATGTGAAAGCAACAGTTACGAGGAAGACCTAAAATGGCCATTGGATTGAGCATATGGAGTAGGCCCAAGCATAGGCCCATGCATGGTTCAAACTCAAGAGGGTCATACTTGTTTGTCTCGAATGTTCATTTGAAATCACCATAATAATACAATTTGCTGAGATTGGTACATGAACAATTCCCTCCAAACTACATTACGTATCAAGAGCATAAGACCGCATTGATATTCCAACCTTTCGACGATTATTGAAGATAAGTAATGAGATCATTGTACTAAAAATGTTTTGGGTTCGTCCAAAACAGCGTTTTACAAATCCTTACCTTCGGTCTTGTCCTCGTTAAAAGGATATGTTTCAGCGGGAAATGTGCTTACCGCGTACCGCTGCAGGGCGTGTCGTTATAATATCCAAGCTTCGACGGTCTGATTGGACATTGCGGGACCACGTGATATTTAATTAGGTTGTTTATAGCTTCCAAGATAACCTATGACCCCATAACCTATGTTAGCGCTAACAAAGTCTAGTTTCCAGGCAAAAGAGTCTGACTGTTCTGACAAACCCCAAGTCAGCTAGCCGTCTCATTCAAAGTAGAGCGTGAAGCAGCAAATTTAAGCCCACCCTCACACGAGTGCCTCCTGAAGGCGCAACGTCCACCATGGACATTTAATACAATTTTCAAAATTGATGACAAGCAGGATCTCTCCGTTCACAAGTTTCCCCTCAACGGCAAAGAGAGTACAGTGGGGGGTGACTGACCGACGCCATCTTGCCTGACTGCAATTCATTTGCCGCGAAGTGCGGCCACTGCGTGTACATAGCACAAATCCCCTGGTGTACTTGTGTCACACACATTGATCTCCATTAGTAATGGAGATCAATGGTCACACACAAGGAACGGTGCGCGTCAACCAGCGAAATGTCCCGCCCGAAAAGGGCGCCCTCTTTGTCGGCACACGGAGCTCATAGGACGGCTACTTCTTCCTTTTATTACAGAAGCGTATATGACCATCCGCGTTACTGCGTTACTGAGATAAAATATCTTGGAAACATATAATTCCCTGATAATAATAATGGATCATCAATTCGCAATATTTTTAATTTGTTGTAAGTTGAAATATGCTTTCTTGGTTTTCCAAGTGTATACCCATTTATTGCACTTGATTGGATGAGCCCAGTCAGGACACAAATAAATGCAAAAATAGAACGTTACACACGTTTTAGATCCTATACATGGTGCTAGGAAGCAGGAGGTCGTGGGATCGAGTCCAACCCGAGTGATTTTTTCTAACTTGCACTCTAGAGGTATATGTGAGTAAACAATGTTTATACGTCGGTAAAGGACAAAACCTGTTATCGAATGTACACCACCCGACGCAATTTCAATTGAATTCGGGTGATTCACAATGCAGTGCGCCACCAAGAGTTTGCAACGGAGAGTCCATTTTTCAAGTTTACGGTCGACAAAACATGGCCCATTTGAATGAGTGTTGGTAGACATCTTGAGCTAATATGTCATAGATTGGGGCATAGCGTTCTGCCGCCTTACAAAAAACACCATATTGATAAGAAGAAAAGAAACGGGCAAACAGATCCTCGAATCATACGCTTACGAAACCACTGACCGGAAAAACTAACAATTTCAAATGTCCCTGGCTGCGAATTTGTCCACCATCTCCCACAATGCACTGGGAAAAATGAACTCTCCGTGGCAAACTCTTGGTGGCGCACCGCATTGTGAATCGCCCGAATTGAATTGGTTTATTAATGGTCCCACAACTCAGATAATTCCCCCCCCCCCCCCCCCAATTGTTTGATGAAATATGAGTCATCCATCCTTCCTCATGCGTACAAGTGGTTTTGGGGGATTTTTTTCAAAACTTCGCTTCTTTTTATGGTTCCTTGCCAAAATGCCGGCTCGTATGCGCTTTATATGCCACGACAGTGTTTTTTTTTAGGGGGCGTGACCTGGGGGGGGGCGGGGCAGTGTTTCAAATAGGAGTCATCAATGGCGATTCCGCAACAATTTGCTCCCACATCAGAAGGGGCCGATAGACCGTCAACCGAATACAACAATTTTGAGCGAAAAAAAATAGGGGGGAGGGGCGTGATTTGGGGGTTGAAGGAGCTGGAACTCAATTTACTCACGTTGGGGGCGCCCTTCAGCACGTCAGTCGCAAATAAAGGTTGCAGACCACTAAATAAACTGCCATAGACCCCAATGATAAATGCCCCACTTCGGAAATTCAGGAAAAATACTCACAACTCTCCAAGGTGTTCGAAAAACACATCAAATTAAAGCTTATTTCACCATCTTTCAATTTCTTTTCAATTTTTTTTTTGGGGGGGGGTTAACTGATGACTTTTAGGAGAAATTTCCATCCGAAGATGATCAACCCTTAAAAAAAGTCCTGAAGCCCATCGCCATTTTGAAAAAACGATGCCTACACTCCATTGCAAAAAAATAGAGCGCTTTAGGGCCCCAAATTCATCCAAATTGCACAGAACTACAAGCTCACGGTCCCGTACACGGCTTCTACCCATATTTTTTACAAACCCTCAAGTTAATGGCCCACAATATGGAAGAATTTAAGGGCATGCAAATCGTGATTTGGCCGGCGTAAGCAATTTTGGACCAATTTACTGGCCTGCTGCAACCATAGCGACCGGGCGCTCAGCCTCGCTCTCTTTCTGCTGTGGCCGAAGTCTCTGCTCTAGCAATAGGCTGTAAGTTTCAGTGGAGGGAGCCTCATACTTTGTGTCGACATAATTATTTGGCTTTAGGGCCATCGCAGATTTGTCCTTCGAAAAAAAATATTGGTAGAATAACAAGCAATGGCAGACATTTCGAAAATTTCGAAAATTGCTTGTTAATCTACCAATATTTTTTCAAAGGACCAATCTGCGATGGCCCTATAGCCAAATATCTTTCTCATGGCATACTCTGACCGGGTGCCAAATGCCATGCTTGTATCATCAAAGGCACAATTCCCCCCTAATATTTATCCTATCTGCCCCACTATAATGGATCACTCTTTAGTGAGTTTTGCTTTGTGTTCTTCCAAATATTTGCTTTTGCATAGAATTTCAAAACCAAGTAGGCAATGAACAAGGCTTAACAAGTCAGTTATCACCTTCTTCTTTTGTTGTATTTTTTTTTACAACAAAAAAGAAGATGAAGTAATAATCACGGCCGGATGTGAGCTTTAAAGGTAAGGACCACGAGTGGATCGTGTTATCGCTGCGATGTCTATTCGGTCAAGTGCTTCTCAATGATTTGGACAAGAACTGTCAATAGGGTTTATTGTGACGATCTAGGGACAGGCGTGTTGAATATCAAGGTATAAGGCAATTTCTTGGGCGTTGCCGTGATACAACCACAGTGCAGCCAGTACATGCGTATTTCCAAGCCCCGGCTTTCTTCCAGTTTTGCCTTGTAGTTCCAGCTTTAGTACAGCTCAGTTCATTTATTTCCACGGTGTTCACAAATAAATACAATGTATTATAATACAATTGTTTAACGGAGGGGTTAGAACGGCAGAGGGGCCCAAAAGAAGCAAATAGTTTGTAAACATGGTCCCCTAACACGTGGCCTATAAAAAAAACTCGAGGTTTACGGGGACAATAAAAAAATCTTAGACGAGGTTTTACGGGGCCAGAAAATTCTGTAATAGGCCAGATTTTGGAGTGTTTATATATTGGGCCCTATAAAGCTCTTGATCGGATCTGAGTTTGCCAGCAGTATTTACTTTTTGCAACTGTAAATATCCCCCTTTCCACGCCAATTTCAAAAGAAATTTCTGTCACCACAATAAAAGCCATCGCGCAGGTCGAGGTCAACCGTCAACCAATCAGTGACAAGCATAGATGCGCAGACCACATTTGGGCATCTTTATCCAAACGCTGTCAACAGAAATTGACCAATCAAACTAGATAGAAGAGAGGGGCCACCATCATGACGCTTCTACGTTTTTGGACCCATCACCGCCTTTGCACGAATATGCAGAGGATTCTTGTTTAAAAGGGCAAGCAAAGCTTAGGGTTCTTCACATTTACAGCTGGAAATTTATAAGGTGAAGAGTCTCCATCCTTTAAAGGTGAGGTTTTTTAACGGATTTCGGGGGGTGGATCTAACTTTCAGAACTGGGGGTTGATATAAGGAGGGGCTGTTTGAGGGCGTGCCAAAGGAACACCCGGTTAAAGGGGTCCGGGGCATGCCCCCTGGACAAGTTTGAAATCTATGTTGGTTATCTCTTATTCTATAAGGCAATTTAGAGATACATTATTAATAGGAACTTTAGCATGCCATAGTATAATTTTGGCTTATTTTTTTTTCTGTCTAACGTTAGTCAGCGGCTGGACGAAGAAAGTGGGGGTTTCAACCCACCGCCCCCCCCTCCTCATTTTTGAAAAGCTTCGAATCGTCGGCGCAGACAAACACGTTTTTTTAAATTTATTCCACACATTTTTCGAGGCCTTATTAGATTGATAAGCCGTTCCCCGTAGTCTTAAAAAGGGCACCTACGGTTTTGTTTTGTTTTGATTTTCTTTTTGGGGTGCTCCTCTGAATAAAACCTAAATAGTTGGAAAACTTTTACTCATTATTTTGTTTAGATGAAGAGACACTTACAGAGAATGGTATTAATAACCAAAAGAGAACTTTCACATTGTATAACATGTTTCCTTGGCAGTCAGATTGCAAGTGTTCAACTACACCACAGCGTAACTATGAAGTGGATCTTCGCTCTCATCTTTGTCTCAGTGTGCGTCGGTAAGTGACGATTTTTCTCATTGTGAAATTAGTTCGTAATTTTCCGACAAAATATGGAGCACAGAATTAAAATCTCTATATGATAAAATACCAAAAAGTGAGAGAAACTCAGAATTATTTTTTTCGTTTCTCTTCGAAATTCAGGACAACATGCACTTGCTGAGTGATCAAGAAGAGCCCACATTATGTTGTGGAATGTGAACATTCATTTGCGATGATTTTTTTTTAAAAGCTGTGAAAAAGAGGACGCTTTGAGGGGTTCAGGTTTTTGTTAGACACCCTGTGTTTGCATGGGCAATCTAAAACACAACATATATTCATTCGCGAGAACTGTAGGTCTTCTCAACTCTTGAAAATGTTGTTTCATTTTGTTTAAATCTTTCTCATTATAACCGTTTCGGATATTAAATCACCTTTTTTTATTAGGCACTGGTTCGGCCTTGAAATGTTACAACTGTGCGACTGGAGTCTGCAATGACCCTTTCAGTGCGACGGATGCCACTGAAGAAACGTGTACTGCAGGCGTAGACGACGCATGCCTTGTAAGTCACCCCATAATATTCATTTCCATGTCAAAGTTTTTACCAAGCCACAAGATTTTACAGTTACAAATTGAACCACACGATAGGGAAACAATGATTTTTTTCCCCGGTTGCAACCCCCAATCCCTTCCATGATCCGCTAATGATTTCATGCAAATCAAAACCCTAAAGTCATGGGTGTATAAAAAAAACAATGGAAGAGGCTTAAGCATGTTTGAACAAATCTTCTTTAACCATGAGTAAACAACTGCGTGTTGACGATAAGCTCTGGCGAAAAATGCGATGCCGATGGCACATATGGAACACCATACTTTTGGTCAATATTGGGGACAGACAGACAGACCATCCGACCGACCAACCGACCACCATGTGACATGTAGAAACTTCTAGATACCGTCCAACCACTACACAGAATGAAGTCCACCTTGTTCGAGGAAGACAAGTATTGCACGAAATCGATCAAAATAATCCATAGCAGAGCTTAAAAATACGAGGCCGAAAATGAGATGCCGATGACACATATGGAACGCCATATTTTTGGTCAATTTTCGGGACAGACAGACCAACCACTGTTTTCTATGTAGATGCTCCTGCCAGAGCTTAAAAATAGTAACAGCATTTTTTTAACCCTTGGATGCACGTTTCTAGAACTGTGTTGAACACTGCTCCGCCCTCTTATAAATTAATAATGGAAGACTTTTGAAACGCTTGGTGGCAGCATCACTACGGTCCTTTTCATTCGTTTACGTCAAGTTTAAGCTAATGTTCAAAATGACGTAAACACTTGAAAAAGACCGTTGTGTTTTCTGCCTTTATCATGCCTCCACCATTTCAGTCATGTTCCCTGTATCCTATAACATTACTGACTGATAATGTTTTTGGTGCAAAAAGGAACCAGACTATTTTCCTTTCCAGCTTCTCTTTGGTTAGGTTGATTTGAATGGGACAAAAACCAAGATGGCCGCAACATGATAATGGTCTATCGTTTGAATGCCCGTTTTCCTTCAACCTTTCACCGAGTTATTTCTTTACCCCCCCCCCCCCTCCCCAGAAATCTAAACTTGCTGACGTCGTCACTTTAAGGGGGTGCGCTTCATCATCTGTTTGCTCTTCGGCCGGAGGAACAGACAGCTGTAAGTCTGCCGAAGCATTGGGAATTCGAGCGGACAACTGCTGCTGCACCACGGAACTCTGCAATAGCGCCACCAAGGGTGGAGTCAGTGCAGTCGTCCTGGTGATGGCAGGCCTCCTCGCAAATGCTGCTTTCTAATTGCAGTATTGAGCCTATGTAATCAAGTCATTACATATAAAGTAGTCTAAAAGTATCTACCTTTGCAATTTCAATATGCCTCAATGTGAAAAAAAAATAGCCTTACTGTTCTGTTTTCAAAATAAAAAAGCATAATTATTGTGGGCGTCGGCGGAATTATGTGGCAAAATATCAAATTTAAATTATAAACTTCAATCACAATCATGATTCGTTAGGTCCATCTCATCATATCCGGGACGAGTTTCTGAGAGGTTGCATTGTCCGGAGGAAGCTCTTGCATTTGTTCTGGACATGTTCTGGGGAAACTTGCATTATACTTGACTCGCCAATACAGATAATGGCCATGCGGTAAGATTGCGGGGAGTTGTTCAGAATCCTACAACTTGTATCCGATGCAATGTCCGCAACTTGTCCGAAGCTATAGTATACAAATAACGAATGTTTGTGAGTGCGATGGTAAGAATAATTTCATGAGGTGACAGATTGAATGTTCTATTCCACGAGGCGAAGCCGAGTGGAATAGAACATTCAATCTGTCACCGAATGAAATTATTCTTTCCATCGCACGAACGTAAAACATTCGTTATTTGTTTTATACAACACCTGAATAAATTCTCGTCATTTGATTGGTAAATTATAAACTACAATTTGCTTTGATTTTAAAGATGTTGAACTACCCCTTCACGAAAATGTTTGAACCCAACGCTGTAAGGCTGGCTCTTTGGAACAATACGCGCTACGCTGAACGCGCACACCAGCATGCATTTTGCACGCAAATACCGCGTCATGGAACAAGCGCAAACTGAAACGGTATAACGCATGGGTATAACGCATGGTCGCACCGTGCATTATACCGAATAATAATATGTCACATGATCTACAATTCACCAATCAGATGACGGGGATTTATTCAGGTGTTGTATAATACTGGATATGAATTATTGAGACGGGCCCTAACCACTGGTCTCTACATAAAGACTGGATAGCTAATAGCCATATACCAGTCACACAGTAGAATTTGCACATTGACCAATTCGCCCCCGGTCTCACGAAGATGGCTGCGTAATATACCAACATTCTGCGCGTATATATCGCGCGCGCTGTATGAAGAGTTCCGCGCATTTTGGTCACGTACGCGTATTATGATGTTCTAAAAAGGACACATTTTCGCAGTGATTATTATTTCCAAAACGCCGAAAAAGGAACTGCGGCCAAAAAAAAAGGAAACCACGACATGAAACCGTGGTCAGTGGTGGTGGTCAAAATATAAATCAAGTGAACCGCGACGTTACAAAGTATTCATGATGCCTATAAAGACGGCAACTTGTCCTTTGTAGATCACCAGCCGCAGTCTCACCGGTCTCACCAATATGGCGTCAAATTAATTCATTGTGCGGCTCGCTATTAGCTATCCAGTCTTTATATAGAGATCAGTGGCCCTAACCCGAATGGACTTTACACGCGTCCCCAGCGTGCAAAAAAACAATCATGAATGATAGGTCCTACATGCTAAACAGTATTGAGTAGTATCTTTCATTTGATATAATACTTTTAAAATACGATACTGACCAGTATACTTAAATGGTCCATACAGTAAACTTTTTTAGGAATACATTGTGTGCAACTTTCCGCTCCGCTTAAATTGGCATCCTTTTTGGTTAATTTTTTTGGAAAGCGCAGTTCTTTAAACATTTAAAAATTTCCATGCTTTTCCGGACAACTGAGGGCGCTGTTCTTGTGACGTCATTTCTGGAAGACCTTGTCCAGTTAAGGCATTTTCTCTTCAAATTGTGCATCCAAATATTTGCTTGTTGAAAATTGTGTGAGAAACATTTGCTCACTGGCCTACTGTCATGTACTGACACAACAACGAATCACCAATAAACAGAAAGTTTACAACAGCTAAATATCCAAAATCCTGGCAACCTTTGGTGCTCATATAACTGTAACATTAAGGTTTCTGACTGAAATGTCATCACACTTTTGCTCATGAACATGGATATTTACATTAGCATAAACATAAAAAAGACACCAAAAATTGAAAATAGGGTTAAATGGGACACAAAGTCCTTTCCCAAGAATTGCATTAAACTCGAAAAGTTGTTTTAACGTTATAAACTTGCCCCAATCATGATTAACAAAATGTGTTTAAGCCTATTTGATATGAAAAGAAACGCAAAATTGAATGACAATTTTGATTTTCTTATTGATCTTTGCGTAGCTTAATAAACGTGTACCGTGTTTGACTTGGGAATAGAACAATGATCAGAGAGCAATTTCAAACTATAATAACTGTATAATGAAAGCCCATGAAAACTGGCATTTCGTCCGTGAAAACTTGACTCATATCCGAAGCGGGATCGACTCAATTAAAATCACATTGGCAGCTTAAAAAACAGTACTGCTTTTACTGGTATAAAACAAAACGCGTAATGAACATTTCATCGGTCACTATATACTATTGGTTTTTTTCTCCAAGTTTCCATGTAACAATGATAAGATATCACCGAGTGTAGGCCAACGGCTGGAGAAGTACAAAATAACAAAAGCGCGTTACATACGCTTTTGTGCTACGTAAGACAAGTGTGTCTTAAAATTTCTATTCATTTCAAAAATTGGTTAAAGAATTGGGACATGAGTCATGTTTGCAGAAGTGCTTTGGTCGAGGCTGGACATCATTATTATATTTCTGAAATAGCTGCTTAGACGAGAGAATATTGATACTTAATTCAGTAATGTTCGGTTGATAACAGTTTTGAATAAAGCTTTTTAGCCTGCATGCATGCGACTGGTGTCATTTCCCAAGTTGTTTTTGTCATAATTTCTATAATTAAACAAAGGGGGCACAACCACGATCGAACCGATGTAATGAAGTTATTTAACAAGATTTCAGGTTGTTGGTTGAGTATACAGGTCCGCATACTCCAAAAGAGTTTCCCTGTATTTTTGAGAGATCACTTGCAGATGATCCTTTTACTTGCCATTTTAAATTTTTGACGTTTTCCTTTGTAACAACCTGATGGCTTACCAATGTGTTCATGCTATGAAGGAGAGGACCAATATTTTTAAGCAAGGATTCATTATTGCAAGGCGACGAGTGGTGGCGCTGTTGCAAGGCGCACTGGAGGTAGCAGACCAGTAAATAAACTTCCATAGACCCCAATGGTACATGCTCCCACTTCAAAAGTTCGGGAAAAATACTCACAACTCTCCAAGGTGTTCGAGACACACATCAAATTAAAGCTTATTTCATCATCTTTCATTTTCTTTTCAATTTTGGGGGGTCAACTGATGACTTTTAGGAGAAATTTCCATCTGAAGATGATCACCCCTGAAAATAGTCCTGAAGCCCATCACCATTTTGAAAAACGATGCCTACACTCCATTGCAAAATAGAGCGCTTTTAGGGTCCAAATTACATCCAATTTACACAGAACTGCAAGCTCCCAGTCCTGTGCACAGCTTCCACCCATATTTTTTACAAACCCTCATGTTCATGACCCACAGCATGCTCAAATACCGAAGATGTTGAGGGCATGCAAATCGTGATTTGGCCGGCGCAGGCAATTTTGGACCGATTTACTGGTATGCACCCTGGAGCAACAACTAATATACGGCATCGGAGCCACTGATCTCTATATAGACCGCTTGCAGACGCGATCGATAATTGACGCGCGAAGGTGCACGACGCCATGTTATGGGACAAAATGTGCATGGAAAGATATACGTCTATCCCACAATCAACAAATTGTGGGGGGGGGGGGATTATCTGAGTTGTGAAACCATTAATAAACCAATTCAATTCAATTGAATTTGCGTCGGGCTGGTATAAGTTCGATAATACTGACGTATAAACATTGTTTACTCACATATACCTCTAGAGTGCAAGTTAGAAAAAAAGCGAGTCAACGGAATGAATACATGTGAAAATCATCGACGAAACATAATAAAAGGAAACGGGTGCCTATTTTGTTCTGTTCGACGTATGATCTTTGTGTAACGGAGTATATGGCGGCGACTTCATTCGGGGCGCACCCCTGTATTAAAATTCCCAAAGACACCAGTGCTAAATGCACCAGTGCTAATTACAAACACTTCAAAATTCTTTCAACAATACTCAGAAACCTCACAGGTATTTAAGCTGCATGATAATCAACATGCCATCTTTCATTCATATTATTCCCTAAAGCGGAAAAGCAGCCATCGATGCCATTGCATCCGAAATGCTCAGAATACGGGCGATTCCCAATAGTGCGCCTCCAAGAGTTTGCAACGCGTTGGCCAATCACAATGCGCGAAATCAGTCGACCTTTTCCAAACGCGCATTGGGTCGACAGATTTTGCGCATTGTGATTGGCCAACGCGTTGCAAACTCTTGGAGGCGCACTATTTGGAATCGCCCGTATTGGAAGCCCAAGTCCGAGCCAGAGGTTCATTGACATATTTAACCAATTCCCCGATTTCGTGGCTCTCAGTTGAACTATCTAATATAGAATAATTTATAATTATAACTATTCATGAGCTCGGCGGAAGGATTGAGGCCTGTTTACAGGTGTGCACGCTTCGGGACGCGTGTCGATTTTCCTTGGATTTGAGCCCTCTAGCGACGGTTTAGCAGTGATGTGAATTGCTCCTATGCGCTCTGCCGTTTCGATTATCTTCCTGCGCCGGTTTCTGTCCGTTTCCGAACGTTTACTAAATACACTACGTTGACACACAATATATGTTAATAACCAGTGTTGGAGGTCTGTTGGCCTCGAGGCCAATTTTCATGGCCTCGGCCACGGAGGTTGTGGCCTCGGCCTTGGCTTCGGAGGTTGTGGTCTCGGCCTAGCCTCGGCCTTGGTCTCGGAGATTGTGGTCTCGGCCTCGGAGGTAGTGGCCTTGGACTTGGCTTTGGAGGTCGTGTCGTCGGCTTTGGCCTCGTCCTCGGAGGTTTTGGCCTCGGCCTTGGCCTCAGCCTCGGGGGATTGTGGCCTCGGCCTCAGCCGTGGCCCTGGAGGTTGTAGCCTCATAGTTTATGGCCTCTACTACAACATAAACACTGGAAAATGTTGTTTTGATAAATTCGTTGGTGACAATAATTGAACAATCTGTTTACCCATAGCAGGGTAGATTTTCTATGTTGATTTGTACTCAATGAAATAAGGAAAGCATATAAACTTTAGTCCTCAGAGTCATGAAATTCTTTGTGTGTTGGAGGGGAACAGTGTCAGCAGATCCTGCTTGATATTATGTGCCAATCGTATTCTAAATCTTATATTATGTCTACGAGAACAGATGAAGTCGAACAATAGGAGAAAACAATAATTCAGTGAGATGATTGTATTTCGTATTTGCTTTTTTGATTTCCAATCATGACATCAGAAAATTTCCAAAGTGGTCTAGCGACTCTCCTAATTGGCTGTTTCGGCAACCGGCCGAAACAGCCTTTGTTTTCGTTGATTTTTTTTTTCTTTTTAAGTGGTCGGGCACAACCCGACCACACCTTGGATTCGTTAAGATTAATCTTTCTTTTTTTCTTTCTTTCTTTCTTTCTTTTTCCGAACAATACTTCTCCGCGGGTTTTCTCTTAAAACGGTATATGGTATGAACTTGTAACTTTCATTATATATCGACCCTCATCCGAAGTGGTGTATATTTCTCTGACGTCATGATTACGTCATCAGGTGTCAAATTACAAGTGATTTTATCTGAAAAAGTGACCAATTACTTTCACCTATAACTCTTGAACTAAACAATCAATGATGTTTGTATTCTGTAATCATCAACCCATGATATTCTTTGATTAACCACAGATAACTTGGCAAGGTTTCAAATTCATGACGTCATCAGACCGGAAGTTACTTTTATGAGAATTTGCCAACGATCTATTTTAAATTTAATTCTATCATTTGATCCATGTCGTATATCTTAGCCCAAATAACGATACCATTACAATGCTCACCTTTTGCTTCCAAAATGATTAGATGATTATAGATGAAAATTGATGTTATGTGATCATGACGTGATCACGTGACATGGGACGTCATAATTCAAGGCCCTATGAGAATGTAATCACATATTATATGCCACCATTTATTATAAACAGAACTACACATCTTTTCTGGATGGAAGTTACTTATACTTGAAACTTACCTGTGACATATGTCACAAAAATGTTACCGAAACAGCCCTGTGTTTGTCCACAAACATAAATCTAGTTTTCATGTGTAGACTTTGCGCCCTCAGTATTCACTCGCACGAGGGCGGGACTATGATGGGTCATTTGTTTTTTATATGACGACAACATGACTATCATAATAGTCAGAATTGTTTTGGCCTGGTAACCAGACTGCGTTAGCGCTCGTACGTTATGGGTCATAGGTTAACTTGGAATAAATACCACGTGGTCCAGTAGTGTCCAATCAGTGCACCGTAGCTTGGATATATATAGACGGGCTCCGCGGAGATCAGCACATTTCCCGTTGAGACGTCAGCCTTGACAAAGGACGTACAGGACGTCAGGTAAGAAATCGTTACACGAGACCCCCGCTCAAAATTCAAAGCAAAAAAACGACAAACTTTGAGTCTACAGGGCCAAAAGCACAGTCTGTGACCAGAATTTTGAATAGGCGCAAGTGGATCTCTTTACGACCAAACAATATGGACTAACCCGCGTTTTGGCCGCCCATACCTTTGCTGTGGCCAAAGGTCAAAGTGCGTTGCACTTGGAGACATGAAAACTCCAACTAACAAACGTACATGTAAATATTCGCCATCTTGTTTTTTTTATCACTGTTCAGTCAAGTTACTATTTCGCGTTCATCAAGTTTTCATCCGCTTTCATCGTTTTCCTCTGTGTACATTTTCGTCATCGTCATTCGTAAATATCATCGTCTATTTCGTCTTCGTCTGATGTAAATAACTGTCAGTCTTTGTGAACGTTAGTATTCCCCTTTTCACTGGGAATAAAGCCGAACTGTTGTTCGACGGATCGTATGTAATCCGACGGGCCGTTCCGTCATAGTCGCGGTGCACCACCATCGGACTACACCACGCAGCAGCCGCCCAGGTTCTACTGACGGGCGCAGACATTAGTCATTAGGTGAGTCGACTTTGCCAAATAACAATCAAAACCCACAAATTGGTGACCCTGACGTGATGGCCGAGTCAGACCCTCCCGTGGAACCCAAGCCCGTTCCTGTTGAATTAGCGCCCGCCGTGCCCGTGGCAGCAGTGAGTCTGAAACTGCCGCCATTTTGGCCGAATGACCCCACACTTTGGTTTGCCCAAGTCGAGGCACAGTTTCTCACCCGCCACATCACAGTGCAGGACACAAAATTTGCCTAGGTAGTCAGTTCGCTCCAGCCGGACATCGCTCAAGAAGTGCGTGATTTACTGGTTTCCCCACCCACTCACGACCGCTACAACACCCTAAAAAAGGAACTAATCAAGCGGACATCCGCCTCGGAGCAAAAACGCCTACACCAGTTGCTAATCGCAGAAGAGTTGGGGGACCGAAAACCGTCTCAGCTGTTGCGACGTATGCGACAACTTCTAGGCGAGAACACCCTGGAGGACAACATTCTCAAGCAACTGTTTTTGCAACGTCTTCCCACGACAATCCAAGGGATTCTTGCCTCCACATCAACTGCGGTGAACATCGAACAGCTGGCCGATATCGACGACAAAATCGTCGAGGTATCGGTACCAACAGTGTCTACAGTGAACACTCATGCCGCTGCAGTTTCCAGCCCTGAACCTGCCCATACGGTCGCGAACTTCCAGACCCTCGAGACAAGGATCAACCAGCTTACTGAGCAAGTCCAAGCTCTCACTGGCCAACTAAGCCGTCAAACACGACAACGGTCACGTAGCCGAGATACCTCCAATCACAACCGCCAGTCTCGCAGTCGCAGCCCTTCTCGTGACCCAACCGACTGCTGGTACCATTGGCGCTATGGATCAAAGGCACGGAAGTGTGTTCAACCGTGTTCCTTCAAGACCAACCCCAACCCCCAGGGAAACGCGGAGGCCGGCAACTAGGGGCGACAAGTCCTGCTGGCGCACCCACAACCAGTCGCCTTTTCTTCGTAAAGAACAAGTGTTCAGGGACACGTTTCCTTGTCGATACTGGTGCCGAAGTGAGTGTTTTTCCCGGGCGAGATACGAATACACATCACTCAACTTCATCTACCAAGCTTCAAGCGGTAAATATGTCACCAATTTCAACCTACGGGGAGCGTTCTCTCACCTTAGACATTGGATTACGCCGTGTTTTTCGATGGGTATTTGTAGTGGCAAATTTGCCAGTAGCCATTCTTGGTGCCGATTTTCTGCAACATTTTGGTCTCTTGGTGGATGTCAAGAACCACAGACTCGTAGACTCCATAACCAGCCTGGTAGTCAATGGAGTTCTTTCGAAGCAGCCAAGTCTCAGCCCGGTGTTAGTGAAGCCATTGTCCTCACAATTTGAAACACTGTTGACTGATTATCCTACCTTGTGTCGTCCTACGTATCAGAACACTGATGTAAAACATAAGGTAACTCATCACATCGATACAGTCGGTCCACCAGTAGCAGCGCAACCACGTCGCCTCGCCCCAGACCGATTACCCATCGCAAAGTCAGAATTCGACCACATGTGCGAGTTGGGTATCGTCCGGCAGTCAAGCAGCAGCTGGTCTTCACCACTTCACATGGTGCCGAAGAAATCCCCTGGAGACTGGCGCCCATGCGGTGACTACCGTGCACTCAATCGAAACACCATACCTGACCGCTACCCGATACCTCATCTACAAGATTTCGCAAGCGCACTACACGGGAAAAGCATCTTCTCCAAAATAGATCTCATCCGCGCGTATCATCAGATCCCGGTAGAACCCAGTGACATCCACAAGACGGCGATCACAACACCATTCGGCCTATACGAGTTTGTCCGCATGCCATTTGGCCTGAGGAACGCGGCACAAACTTTTCAAAGCTTTATCGATGAGGTCATCAGAGGTTTGCCGTTCGTCTACGCATACATTGACGATCTACTCGTTGCAAGTTCGTCAGCTGCTGAGCACGAAATACATCTCCGGACCCTTTTCGATCGCCTGACTGAATACGGTATCGTCATCAATGTAAGCAAGTGCCAGTTCGGAGTTTCGTCACTTACCTTCTTAGGTCATTCTGTCGACGAACATGGCATATGCCCCTTACCAGAGAAGATACAGATCGTCAATGATTTCCCTGAGCCTACGTCACTCCGCAAGTTACGTGAATTCTTGGGATTCGTTAACTTCTACAGGCGTTTTCTGCCTAACTGCGCCGATGTGATACAACCACTCACGGATATGCTGCAGACCAAGGCCAGGAAGAATGCGACAATCGCCTTCGATGACACTCAGCGTACTGCTTTCAGCAAAGTGAAACGCCAGTTAGCTGAAGCCACACTGCTAGTCCACCCCAGCCTCGACGCACCAGTCTGCCTCATTACTGATGCATCTGATGTAGGCATAGGTAGCGTGCTACAACAGCAAGTGCGAGGGGTATGGCAACCACTCTCCTTCTACTCCAAACGGTTGCAACCAGCTGAAAGTCGGTATAGCACCTTCGGGAGAGAACTCTTGGCGATCTACCTTTCCATCAAGCACTTCAGGCACATGCTTGAGGGTCGCACATTCTGCGTCTACACCGATCATAAACCACTGACCTATGCCCTGCGCTCCAAGCCGGATCGCCACTCACCAAGGGAGATACGCCAGCTTGATTATGTCTCGCAGTTCACATCTGATTTGAGACACATCAGTGGGAATAACAACGCGGCGGCTGACGCACTTTCTCGCTTAGCAATTGGAGCTTTGGAGGTTTCGGCAGTCATCGACTTTCCCGCCATTGCTGAAGCTCAGAAGACAGACAACGAACTGCTTCATTTGTCTGATACTTCACTCAAGCTGACAGAGGTACCCCTACCCACGTCGACTGGCACGATCACATGTGACATGTCCACAGGAACTCAACGACCCTACATCCCAACCCACTTTCGTCGGACAGTTTTCGACGGTCTGCATGGTTTGTCCCATCCAGGGATCCGAGCAACACAGCAGTTAATTGTTAACTGCACGGTTTGTGTGGCCGGGCATAAACAAGGATGTACGTGCATGGGCCAAAACTTGTCACCAGTGTCAGCGCTGTAAAGTTCACCGGCACACCAAGACATCTTTCCAGACGTTCTCCACACCGGACGCCAGGTTTGATCACGTACACATCGATCTGGTAGGCCCACTTCCTCCATCGAATGGTCAATCCTACCTGTTGACCGCTGTGGACAGATTTACACGATGGCCTGAGGCAGTGCCAATTCCGGACATCACAGGAGAGACTGTAGCTCGCGCATTCATCAACCACTGGGTGTCAAGATTCGGAGCCCCGTCAACCATAACTACCGACAGAGGTCGCCAATTCGAGTCTGCCCTCTTCAAGGCACTCACCGACATGCTTGGCACCACACGAATACGAACCACAGCGTATCATCCATCTGCTAACGGACTGGTCGAGCGGTTACACAGACAGCTAAAGGCATCGTTGAAAGCACATTCCAACCAGCAGTGGACGGAGACACTTCCCCTCGTCCTGCTAGGCATACGCACAGCAGTAAAAGCAGATCTCGGGTGTTCAGCAGTAGAATTGGTCCTTGGTACAACCATCAGATTGCCAGGTCAGTTCGTGGAGACTGCAAAACCAGACAGGGATCTTGACCCAAGCAACTACGTCCATCGCCTGAAACGTCTCATGCAAGACATGCGACCGTCGCCTACAAGAACTCGACTGAGAAACTCTCAAATTCACCCCGAGCTCGCCACTTGCACCCACGTTTTCGTCAGGCACGATGCCGTCAGGAAACCACTGCAACCCCCTTACGATGGCCCTTTCCGAGTCCTCAAAAGAGCAGACAAGTACTTTGTTCTGGAACTCAAAAGGGACACCGTAGGTATCGACCGCCTCAAAGTAGCATACTCCGACAAAGACATGGTAACAGCACCGGATCACAATCCGCCTATTGTGATTGACAAGCCTATTGCCAAGCCAACTCGACCTCCCGTGCCAGACACATCAGTAGCGTCGCCAAAATTGCCTAGTGACGGAACTCAATCACAGCAACGAACAACGCGATCTGGACGTCATGTACATTGGCCAACCAAATTACTGCAATATGATCATGGTTGAAGTTTGTGCTACTTGGAGAGACACAGCCTTTTCATCGATCGTTTTGTTAGCTCACGATCTACGGGGGAGCTACTGTAGCGACACGTAAAACACTTGCTAATTTTGTCCGTTTGGCCGCCCATATATACCTTTGCTGTGGCCAAAGGTCAAAGTGCGTTGCACTTGGAGACATGAAAACTCCAACTAACAAACGCACATGTAAATATTCAGGTAGCGCCAGTATCACAACTCCAGCAGTACCACCTATCATAATTTATGCCGTGAACAGTACAGAGTCATCAAACTTATGAATTATGTACATCGTCGGTCCGCGCGTGATCGTCGTGTGCATGTCCTTTAATAGACCCACCAGCACGGTCACGCATACATGTATACATGGCTGCCAAGGGTTCCGTACGTAAGTGTACCGGGTGTAACATGTACAATGTTACGACTCGGCCATAACTGCCGTACACGCGACCTTCGCTTCGATACCCCCTCCTCCTCCGCAATCGGTGCGGTACTGTATCTATTACTTGTTTTATAGCTGCATGGGTTAATACCATTGATCTCCATTCAAAACCGCGGAGATTTTTCGTAAGGGGACATTTTTTTTTCAACGACAGAATTAAGATTTTGATATTACAGATTCAAATCCATTAATTCAAAATAAATTCTTTATTCAATAGCTTTTATTAAAATATTAACAAGGTTTTTGTAAATATGGTAAGTTGTATGGTTGTCAAAAGGAAAAGAGTAAAAATAAACAAACTAAATAACAATTAATGCAAGCATCCGCGATAAAGTATTCCTACCTACTTTTTGAATGCTAAATGTAATAATAAATCATGGAAGAATCATCTGCCCAAGCCGGTTAATCTAACATTGGTCATTTCAAAAACGAAGGCTCCACTTATCTATTCGTATTATTTTTAAGCGCACGTTGTAATCGACTAAAATGCCGACACTGTGTAAAATAGTAGTATCCGCCGAGCACAATTCGTTTTCGTGACAAATAACTTAGGCACGCTAACCTTGACAAATTCCAGATCAGTTAGCTCAAGTACAAGTAATTCTACCTCCGTGGTACAACCGAATGCTATTGTAATTGTTTGCACTAGTTAGTTTGGGATGGGAAGGCTCTGCTCAAACACAAGTTACATTCCGAAAGTTGACCGATCATTCGGTGCGAAACCCGCTCTCCGGAGCTCCGCCACTGATCGCCAAAAGTCCTGTAACGTGACGTACCTGACTTGTGGTGACGTAAGCATAAATTATCATAAGTGTACTGCTGGAGTTGTGATACTGGCGCTACCTAGCCCCATAATGTGGCCAGTTTACTGGACTGCCTCCGTAAACATAGGCCACACAGCCACCATCTTGGAATCTGACTCGGCGAAATTTTGAAAGTGATTTCCACATTGCGACTTCAGACACAGTTCATTTATGCTTTAAAAATACACTCACCCTCTTAATAACAAAATTGGAACCTGCTGCCAGTGTCAGTTGCCCAGCTGCTGCGTAATTTACGATTATTTCTGGAGCCTTCTTGGCAACTTGGATTCTACCTCCGATGGTCCAACTGAACAATGCCCTCGCGCAATATGCGATATGCAGGGATATCGTTCACCTGTCGATGTCAATCACGCGTGCAGGATAGGCACGCCGCAGGCTCGGTGGTAGTCTGGTTCCCAGACCTGACAATTATTCCCGACGCTCACGTCTAAATAAGGTGGCATCCGAATCAACTGTCTAGAGCTAGGTCTAGGTCCACGCCCATTGAAAATACGTGAGAACGCGCTGACAATAGACCTAGCCGTAGCTCTGAAGCCCGTTTCGGACACGGCGTCATC